GCAGGAGAAGAGGACGCCTGCGTGACGGGGCGGCTGGATGTCCCGGGCCTCCTCGGGGAGGAGCCGGCGCCTTGTCCTGCAGGCCGGGCTGAGCGCGGAGCCTCCGCATTTATCAGCCTGGAAAGGGCAAGCAATTCTGGGGGAAGGGAAGGGCACAGCAGGCGGCCTGGGCTGGGGACAGACTGTGGGGACACTGGGGCCGGAGCACATCTCCAGCCCCACTGCAGGGACACTGGGGCCGGAGCACGTCTCCAGCCCCATGCACCATCAGCTTTCTGCAGTCCTATTGCTGGCAGCGCGGCCCCGTGGTGCTCGGAGGGCTCTGGGACAGCAAGTAGCTGAGAGGAGATTATTTAAATAAAAAGACTGGCCTAATGGAAAAAAACATCAGCCGGGGTCCTGCCCGGTCTGTTTTCCCAGACGCTTTTCCTGCATGCTTGGGCCTGTACTTCTCTCATTTTGATGGCTTTTCTGCATTTTCTGTGTCATACTGTGGGTGCTTGCTAGGAGGGCTGGCCCAGAGGGACCATCTGTGCTTGGCACCCGGTGCTCCCAACCACATGGTGAAAGGGGCCCTGCTCCCGCTCAGTGCCCGCCTCAGCCCTCTGCTCCTGGAGACGTCACCCCGTCCATCCCCACCTGCAGGGGTGGCCCTTGCAGGGGGGGCAGATTTCCTCGGGGCCTCGCGCCCTATTTAGTGCCCAGTGGCTCAGCACCTAGATTATCCCGTAATCCTTGCAGGGGGAGTTAATCTGCGGCGGGTTTACGTCAGCAGGGCCAGGCGCCCTCAGCCTGGCTATGATTAGACAGCAGCAGTGCCCAGAAAGCGCTGGGGACCATTACCCCATGTGCTGAAAGGAGTTTAAACCCTCCTGGTTTGCTCAGCCCGTATGAGGAAGGGGCCAGGCGGTCGGTGACTCAAGGGGATGCGAGAGCTGCAGCTATTGCAGCATCTCCTTTGTGTGTGGTGGCCCCCAAGCAGGAGCTGCAGCTCTAGGGCCATATAGCTGCAAGAAAGTTGGGCTGAAAGCAAGCAGCCCACTTGCCCAGCTCCTTGCAGCAGAGCACAACCCCCAGGAGACGGGCACTCTGCATTTCCTGCCTGCACTCATCCTTACAGCCGCCCTGGGCCCAGTTTTGGTTCATCGCGATAGGGTTTTGGCTGGGTGAACCAGCCCGAGCGGTCAGACCATACACGGTGTTTTATGAGGCTTGAACCCTTCATTTTGTAAGACTTCCCATCATTGTTGTCAAGCCACTGGTACCTGGCGGTACAGAGGCAGCGTCAGGTTAGAGATCAGCCGGGGTTTCCTCACTGCTGACCCAGGAGGCAGCGCCACAAGCAGACAACACCAAGTCTCTGAGTCATCCGACCAGGGCTTAGCGGGAGCATCCCGGAGAGATGGGAATCCTCTGCCGCAGCGCTGAGTTTCGGCAGGATCCCACAGGGCAGTGCGATGGGTCACCGGCAGCCCCCAGGACCCAGTGGGGGGATCCCGGGCGTGTGCCCTGCTCCAGCAACGCGCTTTGCATGGAAACGCACAGAGGAATCACACGCGCTGTCCGGCTAGTGAATGCCTGGCAGCATCGCAAGGGGAAAGAAAGAAGGGGGAAACAAAAAGCGCCATTGAGAAAGGATCTCCAGCCAAAGAGGCAGTAAGCAAATCAAGGGAAGCTTTAGAAAAGGATGAAAAAAAAGTACAGCTAAAAACGAGGGCAGCCAAGCCTGCAGAGCAGGACAGAAAGTGATCCAAGATTTACACGGAAGCAGAGGCGAGGCTGGAATCACCAAAGAGGAGGTGGAGGAGATCTGTGCTCATCACACAGCAGGCCTGGGGCACGTTTTGCATCCAGGGCTGGGTGGTGAAACGGCTCTGGCAGCCGCAGAGGTGGAGGGGAAAGGCCTGCTCAGTGCTGACGGGCCGCTTTCATTTTCATGCTGCAGGGCCGGGGAGTTTTTTTAAGGTTAAAACCACCTTGCGAACAGGAAAAGGCTGAGGCTCTATTTTGCAACAGGTTGCTCCTCCTTTCACCCTCTTGTTTTTTAACCCTTTCTTTAAACAACCCCCTTCCCGGGCGTCTTTCCGCCCCACGCTCTGGGGCCTGGCCGCCCGTTGGGACGCGAGCGGCTCTCGCTGAAACTCGGCAGCGTCCTGAGGCGCCGCGGGGAGCTTCGCACACGGCGCCAGGCGGCAGGTTGGGCGCAGGCGCTGCCGCCCCCGCTGCCCCCCTTGCCCAAGCGGCA